CATTTATAATTATTCCTGGATATATTCGGATGATCATCTAATCTGAACTCATTTAAAATTCCTATTCCTGGATGTATTCGGAGGATCATCTAATCGGTTTAAGCCAAAGATTCGAATTGACTGACTTTGAAAGTATGGTTTACTTTTTTCTTTCACGTTACATTAATATATAGAGTCTAATCTACAATGCTAAAATAATTAGCCCTAAAAACTTCGAATTCAACCTGGATTTTTGGATTCGAATTGGCTTCAGTTCAATCCCAAACCAGACCAATTTTTTTAATCCGAATTGGAACAACACTATTCTTGGGTTTTGTGTTATAACATAATGAAGATGTCTAGCATTGGTGATATTAAAAGGTCCCGTGATTCAGTGAATTTAGAAGGTCAGATGCTTTTAAAATTATGCACAAATTAACGCTCTCCATTTGTACGTGTGTAAGTATGTACGTACGTACGTACGTACATACATTTGATCGTGTAACTGGTACGTACGTACGTAATGATTAAATAATTAGCTAAGATACGATCATTAATTGATTTGGCAGTTCATTAAGTGCCGAATTCATGTTTCATTGCATTATCCAATCAAGCACGAATGCCATATCGATATGAGCATACCTTCGTGAAATTTTCAATATCACTCGTTTCCTGTATAATAGTTAATCCAGGCCACTCGGGTAGCAATAGCCTTTGACCAAATCAATATAGCTTATGTGAGTCGTCCAGATGATTTCTATACGTGTACAGCCACTAATTTAAAACTTTATTTGGGGCCTCCTTCCGGGATTGTAAATTTTGTGAATAAAGTTTAATCCAGGATTGTAAATTTTGTGAATAAAGTAACCATCCGATAATCCAATTCGAATAAACTTTTCTTTAATAATTTAAATTGAGTTTTTTTATAGATGTTGTATTTGAATTATTAATTTACTTGCCTTAATTTTTTTTTTAATTTTTAAAAACACACGTTGGATTCGATAGAGATGTTAAAAGGATTTGTGATACAGTATTCACGACGTTTTGTTAAAATAATATCTTAAATACTTAAAGTTACTTCTGTACAAAGGATTTGCAAAATGAACTATATATATGCCTATTATTAGAATAACTTATATTTAATAAACCCGGGATAAATTTAATTTATCTACCGAGTTTTCCTTCTAAGTATAGCATCTCTAAATTGGTGTCACTTCAGTAGTGTGATACTAACTACTGTAAATCGTACACTAGCAGTGTGATACGAAATTCTGTAAACCGTACACTAGTAACTAGTAAATTGATAAGAAAAATTTAAATAGATCTCGATTTTTTTTTTCCCCACGTATCTTTTTTTTTTTATTTTTAAAAAAAAGACGATAAAAATGAAAAGGATATATAATAATCTATTTCGTCATAAAAAATCTACTAAAGTAGGTTTTAGTAGTGATCTTGAATTCGATTATCTACATGTGATGATCGAAAAAGATGAAAATAATAAATTTCTTCAATATCAAAGACCTTCCGAAATGGAAAATTCTATTTCATTAAATCATATTGGTTATTGTTATCAATATGGAATAGGAGTTGAAAAAAACGAAGTTAAAGCATTCATTCATTATCAAAGAGCTGCTGATTTGGGAAATGCAGATGGGATAAATAATGTTGGTTATTGTTATTTTGAAGGAATCGGTGTTGAAATGGATAAATATAATGCATTTATTTATTACCAAACATCAGCTGACATGGGAAATGCTAACGGATTAAATAACCTTGGTTATTGTTATGATGAAGGATTTGGAGTAGAAAAGAACAAATATAAAGCATTCAACAATTATAAAAAGTCTGCAGAGTTGGGAAATGCTAGTGCAATAAATAGTCTTGGATATTGCTATGAGAATGGAATAGGAGTTAATAAAGATGAACAAATGGCATTCATTAATTACCAACAATCTGCCGAGATGGGAAATGCCGCTGCAATGAATAACCTTGGTGATTGTTATCGACATGGAATAGGAGTTAAAAAGAATGAACACAAGGCATTCATTTATTATCAAAAATCAGCCAAGATGAAATATGCTACTGGAACGTGTAATCTTGGATATTGTTATCAGCATGGAATAGGGGTTGAACAAGATGAGCGTAAGGCATTCATTAATTATCAAAGATCAGCCGAAATGGGGAATGCCGCTTCAATAAATCAAATTGGATACTGTTATCAACATGGAATAGGGACTGAAAAAGACGAACATAAGGCATTTATTAATTACCAAAGATCTGCAGAGATGGGAAACGCTACCGCAATAAATCAAGTTGGATTTTGTTATCGACATGGAATAGGAGTTAAAAAGAATGAACATGAGGCATTCACATATTATCAAAAATCTGCAAATATGGGAAATGCTAATGGGATATATAATCTTGCAAGTTGTTACCTTTATGGAATAGGAGTTGAAAAAGATGAAAATAAGGCATTTATTCACTATCAAAAATCCGCCGAGATGGGAGACTCTAGTGGAATGTCTCAAGTTGGTTATTGTTATCAAAATGGGATTGGAACATTAAAAGATTTACAAAAGGCTAATCATTGGTATCAAATGTAAATAATTATTTCTTTTAAATTTATATTCGTTTTTTTACGTTATATATATATATATATTATCTAATATACACGTATTTACTCCACATATAATACAATAAATTAGGGAAAAAAATACGATGTTAGGTGATTTGAAAGTAACAAATTAATCTTTATGAATTTCGTTTTTGAGATTGTTTTAAATTTAACAATTGATATTTTTTAGCTACAGGCGAATTGGCGTATAATGATTTTAATGTTGAAGATGTAAAAACGTTATTTATTGAAGAATATTCATTCCCATGGATTCCATATGAAGAATTTACATATATTAAAGAAATTGGACAAGGAGGATTTGCAACAGTGTTTTACGCAAAATGGTTCGACACAAAACAAAATATACAGAGAGATGTTGTACTTAAATTGCTTCATGGATCAAGATCTTATAACGAGGAGTCTATAAAAGAGGTGATTGTTTATGTAATGCTTATTGTTTTTTAATTTATATATATTCACATTGTTTGTTTTAATATTACAGTTAAAGAAGTATTGCACTATTATTTCTAAATCTTCTTTAGTTTTAAAATATCATGGAATATCAAAAGAAGATTTTTCTGCAAATTATATCCTTGTTTTAGAACATGCAGCAATGGGTTCTTTGCGTCAAAATCTTCATTCTATCGTACAAATGGAGTGGAAAGATAAATTATCTTTATTGTGTGATATTGCTTCTGACCTCCAAATAATTCATTCACAAGAACTTATTCATCGAAATTTACATAGCGGTAATATCTTGCAACCCCATTTAAAAAGTGCGTATATTGCAGACTTGGGACTTTCAATACCATTGAATGAGGAAAGTCAAGGAGTTTATGGAATTTTACCGTACATCGCTCCTGAAGTTCTAGATGGAGGGCAATATACAACTGCATCAGATATTTATTCATTCGGAGTAATAATGTGGGAGATTTTATACGGAAAATCTGCATTTTATAATCAAGAATTCGGAACTCAACTTCAAATACAAATATGCCGTGAAAATTTACGACCAACCATTATTAAAAATTCTCCACAATGTTATATAAGCTTAATGAAAAAATGTTGGAAAAGAGATCCAGTAAACCGTCCATTTGCAAAAAAACTCTGTGAACTTTTTATGAAGTGGAAAAATGATGAAAATATTTTATTGGAATTAACTAAATCGGATGCACTAAATAAATATAAAAATATACAAACATATTCTGACAACGTTTATAAAAGCAAATTTATTAATTATACTACGTCATATTACCAAGAAGGTAACTATATCTAGATTATTTATTTTTTTTTTTTTTACAAATTGTATTTATTTTGTATTAAATTTAGTACAATTTTTTACGTAATAGATGGCGAACTGGATCTCGAAGAATGGCATAAAATATAAACTTTAAAATTTTAAAAACTATACATTATAAGTTTTGCCACCTTTCAAATGAAGTTTTCAAGGTTTTACAACTTTTAGAATTATAAGCATTCGGTATCATGTGTAGAGTCACATTATCAATTATTAACCGACTTTATATATATATATAATTTATTAAATTTTATCACATCAAAATCCAATAATGCATTATACAGATAAATTTGTATTGAACGAATTAACACGAATAAATAAAATAAGAAATGTCATGAACATATTGAATTTGTCCAACATGTGTGCCTTACATCTAAGCATCTAAGTATACGTAATATCATCATCTTTATGTCGAGTGTATAATAAAATATTAGAAACATAGATTTATTCATTCGGAGTGATTCCTGTACGAGTATCCTGGATACTAAAAGAATGTTGGCAAGTTGATAAATAATCAGGTAGAAAAGTGATGGCAAAAAAAAGTCACGACCATGTGATTGCCGACCGTTTCCGTCCAAATGACATCATGCAATCAATAACTTTATGTTCGTAATAATTAACACTAGATCTATAAACTTGGGATTTTACTTAAATAAAGTCGGGAAATAAAAAGAGTTACGAGATAAGGTTTGGCTTTATTAAGTGTAAATTAAAAAATAGCTTTTTTTTTCTCGGTCAGAATTAATATAGAAAACGTAATTCTAAAGTACAAATTTATTTTTATTACATTACAGTCTTGATTTTTTTGTAGCTCTAATAAACTATGAACTTGTATTAACTATTAATTTATTGTAATCAAAAAAGCTAATGTTCTCTTTTTTAGTGGTTTAAAAGTTTGCTGCTGTGTTTTGGATCTAAGGACTGTTATATGGGGTCTTTGCCTTGAAAATGACCTTACGGTATCATGTACTGTAAGGTCATTTTCAAGGCAAAGACCCCATATGTGATAGTCTCATCGATAAGAAGCCATCTAAGACTTTATATATTTTGTAATGCTTATCATTTTCAATATTGTTATTTACAATATTTATTATTGTTTCAAATGTTTTCATGTCTCCATTTCGATTGTTGCATGGCATTCAAAAACAATTACATTCGGGCTGTGATCTGATTCAGGTATTGAATTTATAAAGTAAATTTTTATTAATAAAAAAATAGTTTAACAAATCAATTGCATTTGTAATAAAAATTTAATATATCAGAAAGAAAAACTTTATTAAGAAAGTTTGTTTAACTAACCAAAACTATTATTATTCCAATCAACAAAAGATAGAAACCAATACATCTTTTTTTTTCATAAAGTCATATTTATTAGTCAAAATTTTTCTTACATTATATTATTACTATATGAATCTTTAAAATTATTATCAATGTCAACAAATTATTATCTTATTATTTATGCTAAAAATATTTGTTACAAATAAAAAAAATTCCGAAAAAAGAAAAAACAGAATTTGGAAATGAGATTCTTTATCCTTTTAATAATTTATCATATTTATTATATTTTATTATTTATTTTTGTAAAAACAATAATTACTAAATTGTAATAGTAATAAAGACATTAGTAATAATAAAAACATTTCTCAAGCATCAACTGTAGTTAATATTTTAAGTAATTATAACTATTAAGCACCAACACAATTATAAATTAATCTATTAGTTATAGGTAAAAACTCTTTTTGCTTGATTCCTAAAAATCAAAATAGTAGTAAAAGGTAAACAATTATTTTTGAATCATTTTAATTGATATACTTAGTGCTCAGCAAAATCGAGTAAAACTCAATTTTCGAGTTTTTGATTTTTGTCAAACTTAAAGTAGTGGGTTTTGAATCATGTTGAATATAAAATCTATTTTTAGTAAATTTAACAATGATCTGACCTTAAAAACTTACAGCTCCCAGTACTATTGCTATTATTACTCTACCGCTACAATCTCTGCTAATTTAATAAAAAATACTTTTTTAGCAAAGAAGTTTTCTTACAATCTAAAAAACATTAAATTATAATTTAAGTATAGTATAGTATGTTGCAATTTTTATATAGTAATAATAATGTGTTTTTTCTTTTAAACGCTTATAGAGATGTATATTCTAAATTACTGCTGGAGTCATCACTTCTGGTGCTAAGTTTAATGGAATATCAAGAGTTGCAGAATGTTATCAGAATAGAATTAAAATAATGAGAAAAGAGAAAAGGAGGTACTTGAGTGGTTTTGAAACCTGAAAAAGATGACAATTCAAATGGATGATTTAACTTTAAACCAACATAGCATAGACATGTTTAAAAAAAAAAAAGGTATTTAGGTAGTTGTTTAACTTGCTAAAAATGACAATTTGAATAGACAACTTTAATTTTAGACTAATATAGTATAGGCATGTTTAATAATGAAAAAGATATTTAGGTAGTTGTTTAACTTGCTGAAAATGACAATTTGAATAGGCAACTTTAATTTTAAACTAATATAGCATAGGCATAGTTAATGATGAAAAAAGTAGGTAGTTGTTAACTTGCTAAAAGCGACAATTCAAATAAGTAATTTTAATTTTAGACTAATATAGCATAGGCACATTTAATAATGAAAAAAAGGTATTTAGGTAGTTGTTTAACTTGCTAAAAATGACAATTCGAATGGGTGACTTTAATTTTAGACTAATATAGCATAGGCATGGTTAATAATAAAAAAAGATATTTAGGTAGCTGTGAAACTTGCTGAAAGCAACAATTCAAATAGGCAACTTTAATTTTAGACTAATATAGCATAGACATGATCATTAATGAAAAAAAAGTATTTAAATAGTTGTTTAATTTGCTGAAAGTGACAATTAGAATAGGCAACTTTAATTTTAGTCCAATATAGCATAAGCACAGTTAATAATAAAAAAAAGTATTTAGGTAGTTGTTTAACTTCAGAATACGAATGTTATATAAATGACTTACTTTCTGATCAATAGCGTTTTAAATATACTTATACATGTGTTGCTATCTATCCGGGTATAAATCATAATAGTTGGTGGACAGGGGATGATTTAGTTGACCAGGTAGTTAACCATGCTATCCCGATATTTAATCAAACACACCCTGGCAAGATTGCTCTATTTATGTTTGATAATAGTAGCAATCATGGTACATTTGCTAAAGATGCCCTTTTGGTCTCAGAAATGAATATGAGAGATGGTGGTAAAAATAGAAAAGACAAAGATAAAAAACCTTTTCATAATGGTATGATGCCTGATGGTTCTGTGCATATAATGAACTATTTTGATGAAAACGGTATAAAAAGGCCTAAGGGAATTAGACGAGTTCTTGAAAAACAAGATTTGTAGATACCAGGCCTTTTAAAAAAGTGTATTGATTGTAAAAAAAATAGGCCAGATCCAAATAACACAAAATGTTGTACTTCACATATTCTTTCAGCTCAAACTGACTTTGCAACTCAACAATCATGCATACAAGAGGTTAATAAGTTTTTTTTTTAAAAAAAAAATGAAAATTATTTAAAACTATTACTTATATGCATATAAATAATTAATAATTTAAGTAATTGAAAATGTCAGCCACATATGCATCTTTTACCTAAGTTCTATTGTGAACTTAATTTTATTGAGTCTGTTTGGGCTAAGGTAAAACGTTATACAAGACTTAATTGTGATTACACTTTTAAGGGCCTCAAAAAAACAGTTCCAGAAGTACTAAATTCTGTTGATTTAATAAAGGTTTGCCGTTTTGCTTGCCATTCTTAACGCTTTATGAGTGCCTATAAGCTTGGACTTTCTAGAAAGGCTGCTAAATTTGCAGTAAGAAAATATCATTCTCATTGTCGAGTTCCAGAAATAGTTCTTAAAGAATTCACTTATAATTAAGATATTTGATTTTTTTTTCTTTTACTCTGGAAAAATATGTATTTAAAATTAATAAATAATTACTTTGTCTTAAAATAAATAGTAATAAAAATCGTTTTCGTATTTTCTTGTACTCGTGATCTTGACAAATTTGTACTATCGATTTTTAGTAAAAGAAAGAGAGTATTAATTATTAACTCAAACCTCTTTTATATTGAAAAATATAACATTGATTAAGATCTAATCAATGTCATTGTTTCATAAATTAATAATACTAATTAATACATACCGCAATTCTATTTTTGCTTGTGACTCACATGACAATCGTTAAGAATCTTTACAATTGAAGTCGAATATTGAAGCTCTGTTGTGCTAAATTCGAGAAAAAAAATTTGACAGTCAACTGAAGCATACAAAACAACCAATATATATAAACTTCAAGGATATACTTATCCTGAAATCTAGTTACACAGCAGCAAGCCTTGGAGCTCAAACCAAGTCTTTCTACATCTTCCATTTCAAAATTTTAAGAGTCTTGGGATGAATAGCTCTATTCTTTGGTGTTTAGATAGATTGATAATTTTTGACTAAAACTCTTTAGTCACCACTTTCTCTACAACTTAAAAATAAAATAAATAAAATGTCACAGAAGATCATAAAATCTAAAAATCTTTAACCTAATTCCTACTAACTTCATATACTATTCAATTTCCTTTTTTTATCCTTGGTTGTGCTGATACCATATTTATATCAGCATTTAAGACTGCTTTGTTTATTCGAATTGCCATTTTTAGTAAATTTTAATTACTACTTAGTGCCTTTTTCTCACCCTTGGCTGTGCCTATGCTATTTAGATGATCAACTATTTGTTCAAATTTTCACCCTTAGCAGATTTTATATACTATTTTATTGTTTTTTTTCTATAATTGGTTGTGCTAATACCATATTTATTTCAGAATCCAAGATCACTTTGTCTATTCGAATTGCCATTTTTAGTGAATTTCATATCTTTAGGTGTGCCTATGTATTCTGATAGCAAAATCCAAGATTCAATTATCCATTTGATTGTCAATCTTAGCAGTTTCACATACTATTCAATTGCCTTTTTTCATTCTTTGCTGCGTCGATACCATATTTATAGATCGCTTTGTCCATTCGAATCATACCTTCAGCAAATTTCAGTGCCTTTTCTCAGTCATGATTGTGCCTAGACTATTTAGATAGTAAATAAAGATTCAATTATTTATTCTAGCACCACTCTTGTCAGATTTTACATACCACTTCATTTCTTTTTTTTATCTTGGCTGTGCCGATATTATATTTGCTTGTATCAGAATCTAATACGTAAATATTGCTTTGTTTATTTGAATTGCCATCTTCAGCAAATCTTAATACATATCACTAAAATGCCTTTTTCTTATCCTTGGCTATGTTTAGATTATTTGAATATTTAATTATCTATTATAATTGCTATCTACATCAGATTTCACATACAGTACTACTCAATTCCCTTTTTTTCATCCTTTTAGTTGTTAAATATACCTATATACATATAATTTTTATTAATTTTAAACAGGATACGTAGAATAGATTTAAAACATTTAAAATATTTTTTTTGTGTTGTTCCTTATCTTACCTTCCTGTGCTATACAATAGCTTTTCAGCAGGATTGCGAAAAGGCTGCTTTATAAGAACTACATATCAATTTTAATAAAGAATTGTTAATAGTCTTAAGTAATATGTAAAATCACAGCGTTAGCAGTAGGGTTCCGCAATTTGATTTGATTTGATTTGATCAAATATTTGATCTCAAATCAAATTCAAATACAGGAATTTCAAATCAAATCAAATTCAAATTGACAAAATATTTGATTCGATTCAAAAATACTTAATAAAAATTACAAATAAATTTGATTTGATTTGAATTTGATTTGATCAAATTAAATTCAAATACAGAAATTTCAAATCAAATCAAATTCAAATTAACAAAATATTTGATTTGATTCGACTTTGAGGAACTCTAGTTAGCAGTTAGAGTAAAACTGAAACAAAATATCTGAGTTTGACATCATTTTTGTGTAATCTGCAATAGATTACACTTTATTAAAACTTTTCGATTAACAAATCTTTTTATATTCGCATACTAAGTTGAAATTAGATCATATTTAAGTAAGTATACATAGTACGTATAAACATTTATTAAAATAAGCATTTAATAAAGATTCAAGTTCATAAACATTTACTATTTATCCTTATTCTACATATTACAGTATTAGGAGTTTCAAAATTAATGATTCGGCATCTAGTATCTATTTTAAAATCTTTATTTTATTTTCTAACATTGATATTTAAAAACATAAGTGGATTTTTTTTAAAACTCTTTAATTTTAAAATTCTCTATTGCAGTAATATAATAACTTCATACAATTACTGACAGGATATTAAAGACATATATTCAAGTGGACTTAATGGTAATATGGAAATGAAAAATCTCATTAAAACAATTCAATGCTGCAATGTGTTACTATAATCATTTGTATTTTAATTTATTGAATTCTTTTAATTAAGATCTTGATAACTATAAAGTTGCTATCATTTGATCAAATCACCCAATTTCTTCAGAGTGTGGGGTATTTACTTTGGAATCAAAATTATAAATAAATGAAAAAATAGGTAATATTAATAATTATTCGTATCATAAACATCACTTTTGTTATGATTTTTTATATAATCTTTTTGATTCTATTTTTTTTCTTAATAGAATGATTGAAATCGGATATTGCACAAAGCAAAGCGATGAAAAAATAGATATAAATAATATACTCATGCCTGGCAATATGTAGTAAATTTTTATTTATTTTCTTATCATTACAGATTAACATTTATATCATATCTTTCAGGATATGTAAAAACATAAGAAAAATAAGGAAAATCATAAGGGTAGTTATCATAATGATGATAGATATTCTTTTTGCTCAGAAAGTAGTAAGTTATCATAGATTACTAGTAATGTAGTTGGATACTATCTAAATTTTGTAAATAGATATTTAAGAAATTGCATGTTATATACCTAAGGTAATCTATGCCCTTGCATCAGATTTAAATCGCAAGGCAGTTCAAATCAGGGCCGATAATTTTCTGTGGTGGTTGAGACTAAATTCTGTGTGTGATTAAGACAAATTCTGTAATTTAATGTGATAAAATTTTAATTTTTATTTAATTCTGTGGTAACCTTTATAATTTCTTTGATATTTTGTGGTATCATATTGTAATTTATATAATTTAATGCAATTATAATTTTTTTTAAACCAACTAATTTAGGCAAACATGCTCATAATTTACATTGATTTATTGTTTACCTTTATGGTATTTCCTGACACCAGCTTGAATTTATGCTTAGCTCCTGCAATATATTTTGAATTCTGTGATATTCTGCATATTTTTTGGAATTCTGTTATATTTTTCGATGACTAAGGGTGATTTTTGTGGTTAGCTGTGATTAAGAGAAATTTTGCTGTTTTCTGTGAATCACAGAAAATTATCGGCCCTGGTCTAAATTAACATTGCATAATCATATGATCAGTATCACATAATCAACCAATAGAATTCATAGCAGGTGTTTTTAGTTTTGTACGCATTTTACATATATATATAGGCTTGGTGCTACAGAAAAGGGGAAAATCGACAAATTTTCAAATTTTTTTTTTTACACAACTCAATTTAGAATAATGTTAGAATCATTTTTCACTTAAAACATGAAAGAAGTTGTATTAATAAAATTTTGTAGTATAGCTCTTTAAAGTTTGTATTTTCTTATGATTTATTATAAAATTTATAACATAAAAATTGATTTTCTGAAGATCTATTGTTTTGTCGATTTCACCCTTTTCTGTAGCACCAAGCCCATATGTATGTATAATGTGATTGCAGATCTCAATAAATCTTTTTTAGTACTTTTATTTACTTCCATTTACAAATATTTAAAACAAACTTTAGCAATACATAATTATAAGTGTACTTCTCTACTCTAGCTGCTGTTGATATTTTGTTGCCTGCTTAGTTGTTATTTTTTTGTTGTTACAAAGTTTTTTTTAATGGAAACCAGTAAGAAAAATTCTCTTTACGGCATATTTTTTCTTACTTCTTTTCTTTTATGGGTGCCTTTTTCCTTATCCTTTTCTTGCGAGATGCTTTCCTTTTCTCTTCTATAAAAATTCATTGGTTCTCTAGTACTAGAAGAGGAGCTAGATAGTTTTTTTATAGATGTTAATTTGTAGTTTTTTTTTTTAATAGAAAATTATTTACTCTCCTGCTGTATGAATTCCGAATTAACGGTCCAGTTCTCTGGAAATTTTAGAGGTTTCGAAGATAGTAAGATAGAAGAATAGGTCTGCCAAATATTTCCTTTCAAATTTTTGCATATCTGTAAAAAACCAGAGGATTTGTAAGTTAATAATTTATGAATTTATTACTGTAAAAAGTTAATTAAATTATCTATTTTTATTATTTATTAGTTCCGGCCATGTTTATTTTACTTCTAAAATAGATGCTGCGATCTTTTTTAATGAAATAATAAAAAAGGAACTATATTATAAACCCAATGATAAAAATAAAAAAATTAGATTTAGAGTGGCTAAGTATTACAAAAAATCCTCAAACCAAGGATTATTTATTACAGTAAATTATTATAGATTAGATATAGTATTAATTAGTTTTAGCGCTTATTTACTAATATTTTACAATATTTCTACATAGTATGATCTCCTCCAGTACCCCCCCCTGTGATGAACTCGTTGTTCCCCCCACAATGAGCCTACCCCAGTTACCTCCCGAAATGAGCCCACCCCAGTTCCTCCACAATGAACCTGCTTTGGTTTCTCTTTACAACAAATCTGTCCTAGTTCCCCTTTACAATAAACCTTCCCTGGTTTCTTCCTGCAATGAGCCTGCCCCAGGTTCTCCCCACAATGAACCTGCCTCAGGTTCTCCCCACAATGAGTCTGCATTAGGTTCTCTCCACAATAAGTCTGCCCCGAGTTCTTTTCATAATGAACCTGTGCCAATTTCCCTTCGGTATAAACCTGCTTTGGTTCAAAGATTTGTCCTGGTTTCAGATACCCTAGTTCATAAATTAATTGATAAAATCAATCAACTTGAAAAAAGAACAGAGGCATTAGAAGCACTCCATAATAACAAGAAACGTAAAGTTATTGTGATAGATGATTAAAGTAACTTGCTTAGATAGTATTGTATATATATGTATATATAACATAGAATATGTATGTAATATATGTATAAATAAATTTTATAGTATTTTGCTGTGGCTATTTTTATATATGAGTAATGTCAAGTAAACCTTTTTTTTAAAAAATTACGGCATTGGAAGTCAGCATTTCTGCTTAATATGGGTTTATAATCAAAACTCGAATGTAATTCTTTCAGATTCAATAGGCCATGTAGTTTGATAAAATTCTATTATATAATAAAATACTTTACTATTACGATCAAAAAAATATTCGTTTCTATTAATTGGATGCTCTTATTTAGATCTTGAAACATTGTTCTAAGTAAAGTGTTTGGCTTGCTATAAGAGTTTATTGAAAGGTTTCATACTATATATAATATGTATAAACCAAAAGCGTACCAAATAAATATGAAATCACCAATATGAGCATTATGTAAATATATTATCAGCATATAAATCACAATGAATAATATATATTATTCAAAGATCGAATGCAATAAATAATAATAATTCTAATTTTTTTCCCACTTTATTCGTGCTATATTATAAAGATTCTTATGTAAAGACACCCATTTCTGCATAATTAAAATATATTTATTTGTGCGTTTGTCTTTTAATATTCCATAACATTGCAAAATGTGAGGTTTTTGGATCCAATATTAGAATTTTAAAATTATTTTAATTAATAATTGAATAGTAATTATTAAAATCATAAACTTGAGTTATCAAAATCTTACCCCTTTTATAAGCTTCTCATAGCTACTTCTTGGATTTGTATTATTTTACTAACAATTACTTCATAGACACCACATTCTACTGACAATTATTCACCAACAAGTTTATTTCACTGACAGTTTATTTCGCCAAAGATCATTTCATCGACAAGTTTTTTTTTATAAATTACACTAACTTTAACTCTAATTCTAGCCTGACCCTAATGATATTGACCAGAATTACTTTGTCTGTAAAATGAGCTTCAGTGAAATAAATGTCAGTGAGTGGAAATAACATAATTATATTATTTCTACTTAGTTTAGATTATGAATAACGACAGGGGCATATATATATCATCATTCGAGTGATGATTAGTTTACGAGTTCGTCATCACACTTAGGTATTATAATCTATTAAAAAATATGATGCCGAATTTGAGTTTATGTCATCACACTTAGATATCCTATGATTTATAAAAATATGTCAACGTCATTGTTTGAGTAATGAACAATTTACGCTTGCATTATCAGTGATATTTGTTATAAGTTAATACTAGATATTACTAGTTGTTTGCAGGTACTTGTAACAGAACTTGTGACAGCTGTTTGAGACTGTTTGAGAGTTTTAAACCTTTTTGTTTCTCTCTTGATTACTTCTTTATATCTGTCACAAGTTACTTAAGTAAAATATTAGAATTCTAAAGGAAAAAATAAAACTTTTTCTATAGTATATCTTTAATATATACCTAATATATATATACGAGATATATATCTGATACCAACCTATGTTATATGTACTATATCTAAGGTATGGGTATTTATTTCCAGGAACTTTTTTTTGCTTTATATAAAAATCTTCAAATTTTCAAATATATTTGTAAACTTTTATATATAATATCTATGATCAATCAACTATACAAATATAAAATTTATTTATGCTTTGCATATATAAAAGTTTATTCTAATCATAAAATTGAAATCTCTATTATTTATGAAAAATTAAAAGCAATAAACGTATTTCCATAAACATATAATAGACACTTTTTTTTTCAAGTAAACCAAATAAACTTATTAAAAAAATGTGTTTGGGACACTAAATTACATATAATTTTAAATTTTTTAGAGATCAAATTAAAATTTTATTAATAGACTTGGCTGTTAAATTGTTGTAAAAAAATTTACAAATTTTTTTTTTTTTATGAATGTTAAAGGTAAATTGATCAATAAAATTATAACTGACCTTTATAAAAATCTTAGAATGCATGGAATTCATTACAATGAACATATTATTTAATTTGCCATAGCTATTTATTTGGTAAAAATCACCTTCAATATATAGTATTTAATGATAATATTTGATAATCAAAATTTCAAATTCATAAACAAATTAATTTTACTAAACTTACCATAGAACATGATATTAAGGGCTATTTAGCCTTTCAAAAATACAGAAGGTTCTATTTATTCTTATCATTTTTTTCAGGTTGCTTCTTTGCTTTTTTAATAGCCTGCACTCTTTCCTTAATCTTATATCTTCAATTTTTTTTTGCTTTGCATTTTCCCTATCCTCCAATTCTTTTACAATCGATTCTGCAGTTACAAGTGTTCCGAACTTGAAAGTTTTGGGTCAGGTTTGATTTTTTCTCAATTGAAAATTGTTGTAAAAGCGGATAATTCATAATCGAAGCCAAAGATACTGTTCCAGAGTGCTTTAATTTTTGAACATGCTTATATAATATTTTATTTTCATGCTCAAGCTAAGCCAATCTGCTAGTTCTCATATTATGCATGTGAATTGGTTCCAGATTTGAAACAACAAGTTGAAATGTTGGTAATGAAGGCATTAAGCGAGTAGAATTAATTATATTAGGGTCTAGAGGCCAAATACCAGTTGCAGCATAAGCATGCTTAATTGCACCAGGAGTGTAAGTTTCATAAAATACTTCACCAAGAACTTGTACAAATATATATTTCATAACTACTTGAAGAGTGCTCTTTAAACAATAACGATCTGATGCCTTGTCAAATTTGGATTTAAGTTTTTTAAAAGGAATTTCAAAAGGTTGAAGAATATGAGTAGTATTAGATAGTAAAACATAAAGAAGAATATTATGATATTGACAAAACTTAAGCCTATATGACTAGTGGCTCTATCAAGCATAAGTAAGACAGGATGAGCATGCTCAATATACATTTTGAAAATATTTTTATGCATATCTCTTAAACCGTCTAGCAGACAAATTTGCCTGCTAAAATTATTTTTAAAAAGTTTTTTTGAGTTTTCTTAAAATTTATT